TTTATTGCTGGGGTACACACACACACACACACATACATATATATACATACATACATATACACATATATACACATTGTATGTATGTATGTGTACGTGTGTGTTTGTATACACGTCAATATATGGATGCCTACCTTTTTGGCAAGGGAGAACATTTGAGATGACTTTGGGCCAAGAGCACTTAGTTTCACTAGGAGAAGGCCCTTCATGTAAATGTTTTCTAAAGGCTATCAAAGAAACCTTGGCAAACAAAAGATAATCTTATTATAGCCACAAAATGTTACTATAAGGCAACATTTAGCCATGCAGAACATGATTGATCATAGTTTTAGTTTTAGTTTTTAACAGAAAGCAAAATGAAACAGCTTAAAAAATAGAGGAAAAACATAGAAAATGCCTGCTAGTACATAGGTACAGGAGAGAGAGTTGAATATTTTCTGTTCTTACTTTAATTCCCAAGTAGAAGTTGCTTCCAGCTGCCACTACTGTCTGTCTGTTAGAGCTACTGCCATCAAAGTTCTTTTAATAGGTGAAGTTTTCAGAATTTTGGAGATACCAGTCAGGTCTGGCAACGTCTATATACTCCTGCCACTATGCAATTGTACTGCATGTACTTGGTAGAACCGTTGGCAGAAGGGGGAATAGAAGGAATGAACGAGGGACTCATGACCTGACAACACTACCTACGTCCCAGGTAGCAAAACAGTGCTCTGATTTATTTTTAGCATAGTAAAAAGGGAGAAAAGCCCTAGATCTAATTTAGCTCTACCTTTTAGGAAATTTTAAAAAATTATTGGTAATGTTAAGAACCAAAAACATATCTTGTGATTATAGCTCAGAGCCCCCAATTAAGGAAGAACCTAATGTTCAGGAACATGGTTTGTATCTCTGACCTATTCCTAGCTATCACCACAATACTTTGTTATATTTAGTACCATCTTCACACAACTGATAAAGGACAATCACCACAAAGTAGATATGATTGATCATAGTTTTGTTTTTTAACAGAAAGCAAAATGAAACAGCTCAAGAAATAGAGAAAAAAACATAGAAAACGCCTGCTAGCACATAGGTAACAGGAGAGAGAGAGTTGAATGTTTTCTGTTCTTCCATTAATTCCCAAGTAGCAGTTGTTTCCAGCTGCCATCACTGTCTCTGTTAGAGCTACTCCTATCCAAGTTAATTTTAATAGGTGAAATAGCCAGGGGAATGATCTATCTATAACAACACCTCATTGTTAGTCTTCATTTAAAGGACCCACCACTATACTGAGTTCCACTTGCTGTCACTACTGCCACCCTTTCTACTCAGTCCTCATATTTCTTCTTTGTATCAGTCTTATTCAAAACAGGTCTGCCCCCCCGTTCAGAGTACAATGAGGATATTTGTTCTTAGCTCCTATCTACCCTCACCTCTGCTCGTGGAAGGGTCCATCTCCATCAAAAGTGTGGTTATATGATCAAATACCTTGGTGGATGCTATCTGCTTCATCTGACAAGAGAATGTATTAGTCTTCTCTCTGCATGGAGAAAATCATGGTCTGACATTGGGGCTGAGAAGAGAATCATTAATTAGCAGAGTGATTACAGAATCCCTCAATTGTTAAATGAAGATCCACATAGAGACCTGGAATGTAGACAAACTTGTCATAAAGCTTAATCATATAATACCCACAATTGTGTATGGCACAGGGGAGTAGGGAATGCTGACATACACTGATGGATTTGATCCTCCTTCCCCTTGCACCACAGCTCTAATATTCTATGGTTCTGTGAAGGGCCTCCTAAAATGAAAATTGCCACCATACCAGCCCTAGTGTGTGTGTCCTTTCCATCTCTAGAATTTAGTAGGACAAAAATCTTTTCTCAGCATGGCATCTGTGTTATATCAAATAAATCAAGTTTATCTTCTTCTTCCAATCCTTGTTTACCATGGAAGATTCCCCTGCATTACCCAGAAGCAAAAAGGTTTTTTTATACATTCAGTGGGAACAAAGTGAAATTCATTAGTCTCCACTAACGGATCCTAGCCTTCTTTGCCAGATGAAGCAATGAGTATCTAGAATCTTTTCACCCTGACAGACAGATTGTCAGACCTAGCCAGTCATGTCAATTAAATCTTAAAGTACTTTAAGGCAAGTAAGCCTAAGCTTAACCTAATTCCTTACTTCCTTTTTATTTATCTATATAATAGTTGTCATGTAGAGAATTCAGTTTCATCTTTAGAGAAATATCATATACTTATAAATAAATGTGTTTCATTAAAGTTGTGTTGTTTTTCATAGTTTGTCAAAATGAAAAAAGTATAATTTCCTTCCCTCCTCTCCATAAGTACATCTTAGAGTATGTGCCCTCTATAAATATCATTTCCTTGCTTAGCCTCATATGAAATTGAGAACTGGAGAAGGGGTCCAAATACTTCTCCTAAGTGCCTTAGGCAGCAGAAATACAAATGTTACCAATTGTAGGGGGAAAATATAAACTGAAATGGCTGAGTTCTTATATCACTTAGTCTGATTGTCATGGGGATTATATGTCCTTTGGGAGAAACTAATTGATCATCTTTTCTTCATAGTATTAGGTTTTGGTAAATATGCTAAAACTGCAAAAAAAATTTTGCCTGGTGCTTCCTGGTTACAACTTCGTGATGGCTATTAATGAATTTTATGACTTTATGAGGAATAAGGAGTTTTGTCATTTGCTTGCTACAACAACAGATGATTGTCTTAAGTACGGTAAGTATCCTTGGTTCCTTCAGGACCTAGTTGCATTGCTCTTCTCCAGCCTTCCACATTTAGCAGCAGAAGTCTGAGAATGAATGGAATGAATCAGTAAGCATTTATTAAGCTCCCTCTATGTCAGGAATATGCTTTGTGCTAGCGATTCCTATTCTCAAGTTTACATTTCCCTGGTGGAAAAGTGACATATTCACAAGCAAGTAAAGACAAGCTGTATACAAAGTACAGAGTGATTCCAGGACAGGGGCCCTAAAGTGGAGAATTCAAGAGAGACTTCTTGAAGGAGAGAGCACTTGAGCTGAACCTTGAAGGGATGGAGGAGTTTCAAGAAGCAGTAGTGAAGAATGAGGCTGTTCCTGGCATAGAGGACAGCCTGTGTAAAGACACAGAGGCAAGAGACAGAATTTCCTGAGTGATGAACTGTAACAACAAACAGGCCTGTTTGACTAGGGGATAGAGTGTGTGAAGGAGAATAATATGTGATCAGTCTGGAAAGATAGTTTGAGACAGATTGTGAAGGGTTTTAAATGCCAAAAAGGTGTTCAGATGATATCCTAGAGGAAGCAGGAAGTGAGCTTCTTAAGACAGAATGACTTGATCATACACATGATTTAGGAATATCAGTTTGGCAGTTATATGGAGAATGGATTGGAGAGGTGATAAATTGGATATGGTCAAACCTATTAAGAAACTATTACAATAGTACAGGCAAGGGAAGAAGAGGTACTAAACTAGGGTGGCTGTAGTATGAATAGAGAAAAGAATTGTCAAAACTGATTCTGTATGGGAAGGGGGAGAAGTGAGTTAAAGCAAAAAGTCTTATATGACCCCGAGGCTGGGAAACTGAGTGCCCAGAAGAGACTGCAACTCAGATAACCAAAGGCGTTAGGTCAAAAGTACAGCCCTGCCTAGTCAGGAAGCAATGTTTAGGTAATCAGAACTGTCATATAGCCTTCTCATTGGCATTGGGGTTGCTCCTCTTAGATTAGGAAAAGAAGTCTTATACAATTAAAGCATATGGGTTTCTCAGAGAACTACTGAGAAATCAAGATAAAGTCTAAGTCTAAGAGTCTAAGATGGACTCAGAAATAGGGAGGTTAGGAGGAGGGATGGGTTGGGGGAAAAGATAATGAGTACCGTTTTAGAAAAGATTCAGGGTAAGATTCCTATGTGACATCGAAGTGGGGAAGTTGAAGATGTGAGACTGTATAGTTCAAGAGAAAAATGTAGTCTTAATGTGTAGATCTGAGAGTCATCTGCATAGATATATTGGTGGAATCCATGTGAGTTGGTAAGATCACTAAGAGAGTTTAGAGATGGAAGAGAAGAGAGCTCAAGACGGAGCCCTGGTGTACATGATTTTATACAGACATGAATAAAGAACCAGCAAAGGAGTCAGAAGGATTGTTTAAACAGGTAGGAAGAGAGGACCAGGACAGAGCAAGGAGGAGAGGATCCAATGGAGAGAGACTGGAGCATCTATCATCAGGACCCATTGTCAGTGTAAAAGGCATTTCCTCAGCCTGAGAAAATCTCTGTGAAGTGTTCTAAGGTTTCAAAAGGTGCAAGGTAAATGCAAGGTGCTCATAGGGCACATAGGAATAAGAAGTATGTGGTCTTCAAAGTAGTAAGGTGCATTAACTCTTTTAGAAATGTTGCTGAGTAGTAATGAGGACCTAAGCGTCTGAATTTCTACCAAAAGGTGAGCACCTGACTCCGTGTTTTCATTGACCTCTGTACATCTGGGAAGTACTACTAACAGATGCCTTAGCTACATTGATCTACTAAAAAACCTTAAAAGCAGAAACAGGGATTAACCATAGGAATGAACCACAGGAAAAAATATATCTAATAATCATTTAAGAGTGATTGTGTGTATTATTAGATATTTTAATTAATCGTATTGTCTTTTATTTTAATATTCTTCACGCATAGTCAGCCTTTATAATTTGTTACTTCTATAGCTTAGTTATTAATCTGCCCACAGCTTAAAACAAAACAAGAAAACCAAAGTGGGGGTGGTGTATTGATGATGGGAAACCTTTCTAAAAACGGTACTTAGGAGGCAGCTAGGTGGTGCAGTGGATAGAGCACTGGCCCTGGATTCAGGAAGACCTGAGTTCAAATCTGGCCTCAGACACATAACGCTTACTAGCTATGTGACCCTAGGCAAGTCACTTAACCCCATTGCCTAGCCCCCCCCCAAAAAAAGAAAAGAAAATAGTACATAAAAAGTCAGGGCATCCTCTCTTTTTGCCATTCACAGGTAATCATCTCTTCAAAATGAGCAGTAAAGAGATGGGGAAATTTTTGATTGCTATGGCTGTTTTAGGTTTTGTTTTCCTCATCATGCTTTTTTTCATTGATATATATTCCTGGAAAATAAGAATCTTTTACAATCGTTTCTTTCTCAAGACCTACCACATGTGGAATTCTAATTTGGTGAGTGACTGGACATGGAGCACAGCAACTATATGAGCTTATACTGGTTCTGTCAATGTCAGCACAATTCTAGCCTGCAATGGTGGCTCATGTTTGTAGGACACCATTGAAAATTTACCTTCATTTCTTTTATCCTAACTTCCCTGCTCACTAATATGCCCCCCAAAAAAAAATCAAGTTTTCCATTGGTTCCCTGAAACTCAGAGAAGTTGTAAGGAGGTGAAACAGTTGTATGCCTTGAGATCATAAGATTCATGTATTGTTTGTTTTTAACCTTTTTTTTCAATATCAAGTTTCAAATTCTCTCCCATCCTCCAAACCATTAAGAAGACAAGCAATATGATACCCATTAGTTATATGAAGTCTTGCAAAATATATTTATATATTAGCCATGTTGGGGAAAAAAAGACAAGAAAAATAAAGTGAAAAAGTATGCATCAGTCTGCACTGAGTTCATCAATTCTCTCTCTGGAGATGTATAGCATTTTTCATTTGGAATTCTCTTGAATCACTGTATTGATCAGAGTAACAAAGTCTTTCACAGTTGACCAGTTACAACATTGCTGTTACTGTGTACAATGTTCTCCTGGTTCTGCTCACTTAAGTTTTTATCAGTTAAATAGGTCTTCCCAGGTTTTCCTGAAACCATCCCCTTCTTCATTTCTTATAGCACAATAGTATTTTATCACAACTGTGTACCACAACTTGTTCAGCCATTCCCCAGTTGATGGGCATCCTCTCAGTTTCCAATTCTTTGCCACTATAAAAATATAAAAGAGCTGCTATAAAATACTTTTGTACGCATAGGCCATTTCCCCTTTTTCTTTAATCTCTTTAGTCATGGTATTACTGAGTCAAAAGGTATGCACAGTTTTCTAACCCTTTGGGCATGGTTCCAAATTGTTATGTTAGTGAATCTGATAGGTGTGAAGTGGTACACATGGTTGTTTTAATTTGCATATTGCTAATCAATAGTGATTTAGAGCATTTTTCATGTGACTGCAGATAATCTTTGATTTCTTCTGAAGACTGCCTGTTCATATCTTTTGGCTATCAATTGGTGAATGGCTCTTATTTTTATAAATTTGATTTAGTTCCCTAAACATTTGAGAAATGAGGCCTTTAAAACTGAGAAAGAAATAGTTTACCTGTCAGATTTATAGAGAACAGAAGAATTTATGACCAAACAAGAGGTAGAGAAAATTATGAAATGCAAAATGGATATAAAACTATAGCTCATGACTCAGTCAAATTTATAAGAATACAAGTCATCCTCCAATTGAGAGTAGTCAAAGGATATGAACAGGCAGTTTTCAGATGAAGAAAATTAAAACTATCTATAATCATATGAAAAAATGTTCTAAATCACTATTGATTGGAGAAATGCAAATCAGAACAACTTTGAGGTATCACATCACACCTATCAGGTTGGCTAACATGACAAGATAGGAAAATGGTAAATGTTGGAGAAGATGAGGGAAAATTGGAACATTAATACACTGTTGGTGGAGTTGTGAACCAATCCAACCATTTTAAAGAGCAATTTGGAACTATGCCTAAAGGGCTATAAAAATGTGCATACCCTTTGACCCAGCAATAGCACTTCTAGGACTATATCCCAAAGAGATCATACAAATAGGAAAAGGACCCACATGTACAAAAATATTCATGGCAGCTCTTTTTGTGGTGGCAAACAACTGGAAATTGAGGGGATGCCCATCAACTGGGGAATGGCTGAACAAGTTGTGGTATATGAATGTAATGGAATACTATTGTGCTATAAGATATATATACTATTGTGCTATAAGAAATGATAAGTTGGAGTACTTCAGAAAAACCTGGAAATACTTATATGAACTGATGCTGAGTGAAATGAGCAGAACCAGGAGAACATTGTACACAGTGACATCCACATTGTGTGATGACTAACTTTGATAGACTTAGCTCTTCTCAGCAATGCAAGAATCTAAGAAATTTCTGAAAGTCTCATAATGGAATGTGTATGTATATATGTGTGTGTGGTGTGTGTGTATGTGTGTATCTACATTTGTGTGTATATATATATATACATATACATATATAGATTCTTTATAACTAAGATATATTACATATATAATTAAGATATATTATATATCATTAAGATTATATATATGTATGTATGTTTTTCTGAAGTACTCCAACTTATCATTTCTTATAGCACAATAGTGTACATATATATATAGATAGATATAGATATAGATATAGATATAGATATAGATATAGATATAGATATAGATATAGATATAGATATAGATATAGATATAGATATAGATATAGATATAGATATAGATATAGATATAGATATAGATAGATATAGATATAGATATAGATAGATATAGATATAGATATAGATATAGATATGTATGTATATATATTTAAGATTCCAAGATCTAGACCAATGCTTAGATTAAAGTACGGTGCTTTGATTTTAGTTAATGTGTATGTGTGTGTGTGTGTGTGTACATATATATACTAAAATATTGACACCCTAACTCAGTTGCCCATCTGCCATAAACACACGCGTTCACTGTTACTCTAAACTGTTAGCAAGTCTAGCAAGAATTTTGAGGCCTGACCTTTTACAGATAAGGATACTTCAAGGTTTTCTTGCTATGTCAACTTCCCAGAAAACCCTTATAACCAACTCCTATATTTCTAAAAAGTTTTTTTAATATAACATATTTATAACAGTCTTGTAACAATTAAATCCATAAGCTAAAGGAATGAAAGAAGAGCAAAATTTTCTAACAATATGTCTAAAACAATGAATTATCAAGTTAATGTTAGGCCCTTTTCTTTAACACATTGCAAATCACATAACTAAGGTAATTTTGCTTAAAATCACATAGTTAACAAGTTTCCTGATCCATATAGTATTATTATAATAATAGGTAGATAGATAATAATAATAATAAATTTCACTAAAAATGAGACCAAAATAAATTCTATCATGCCTGGATCTATTTTCCAAATAGTGTCATGTAGAACCTCAATTTAAAATTTCAGTATTATGTTTTATACAAGGGCTATTTATTCCAAGCATTTCAAATTATGGGATTCACTATTTCCAGCTAATCCACTGCCAAAGATTTTAAAAGTGACTCCAGTCACTCAGACCAGTCTGATAAGAACATAATGGGCCATATTTCACCTAGATTAGGTTTTCTTTATAAGCTTTTCTAGTTGGGTAGGGCAACAATTCCACCTAGATAAGATGGTCTAGGAGGGGTAAATTTGGGGGCAAAGTCAGAGATCTCCTTGAAAGACTGGACTTTGGATGAGGAAATAGGAAAAAGGAAAAAACCCTGGATCTCCACAATATTTAGTTATTTAATATAAGAGAAATAATCATTTCTTTCAGCTGGAAGGTAAACTATGTGAAGCGTAAGAACGTGCAATGGTTGTGAATGGTCTTGAATACCAAGCTAAGGAGATCAGCCTTTACTTGGTAGACAATGGAGAGTTGTTTAGATTTTGGATTGTCAACCTCCAGAGTCTGATCTAAAAAGAGACAAATGAAATTAGGTCGACCTTCAGAGTTTGGTCTTAAAAGAGACAAACAAAATTAGATCATATATGTGCAGTTTATTTTCTTTAAGCTAGTGAAACATACATGTACAGAAGTCAGAATAAACTAAGCTCAAAGAAAGGCAAGTTGAAGGAGACTATATACCCATAGAGCAAGGAAGTGCCCCTTGCATCCTATTATAGTAACTCAGAGATGTCCCAGTATCAATCTATTATTTAATGGATTTAGTATTGTACTTATAGAACTTCTTGATTATAGAAATTTGCTATAAAAGGAAAAAGAGGAATATGGTTATAACAATGTCATATATCATAACAAAAGGGAAAAACTTCCTTAGCTCTGTTTGATTCCAGGCATGAGTCATATTTGACAGCCAGTCATATAGACACAAGATGTTAAAAGCAGGGCTCAGAATTAACCAGGTGGGGGATTTTCCTTTTCAGAAAAGAAATAGCACAATTGGGAAATAGAGTCAGGAGGATCTTACTGAGCTATGTCTGAGGTTGTCCTCAAAACTTTTCCTAGGTACAGACATCCACCTTTAGCAGCCCAGACTGCAGCACATGTTGTTTTCTACTCTTGCTTTCATGACAAATCAGACAACTATCCTTGTAATCAAAGCTCAAAATAATAGTAAATTACAGTCCCATGAAGTCTTGAATAGCAAGTTCCAGTAGTCAGAGCTTCCATCACAAAAATACCACTGCTCTCAGAATCCCTTCAAACAATGGGAACATCTTTAAGGTGAGTCTTAAGTAGTTTGCATACATTTCTGCACATGTTTTAATTCCTGACTAAATGACAGACATAAGTAAAATCAGATTTGCCATTAAGATAACACATGATAGCTCTTAAGTTACTACTCTTCATTAACAAAGTTGTCTGCACTGAAATCCTGTTCTTTAAACAAAAACAAAAGTTTCCTGACTTTTACTTCATGACTTGATAGTTTTACATCCTTTATTCACAAGCTTGTTTATCCTTCTCTAACTCTACTCCTCACTCTGAAAGAAAGAGATACTTAAGGAGTTGAATCTTATACGTATGATGAGTTCAAACACTAATTTGATTCTTGTTTAAGCCATGGAATGACTACAAATTCAGATCAATTTGCTATTATAGTAAATATCATTATTATTACCTGTTTATAACTAAATACACCTCATTAAATATTTAACAGTTTTCGATTTATCTTATTTTTTATCACATCCTTTTAAAAGACCAATTCATATGCAGCAAAATCCAAATTAAAAATTGCTTTGTCTAGCACCATTTCTGCTCACAGTGACTGCTCAAATTTTACAATATAAGAGAATTTTAGAAATACAAGACAATTTAGAAATACAATAATAACACAAATAATAAATCTCAGATGACATCAATTTCATTTCCAAATTTTCACATATAGAGATTCTTGATCATCTTATCTTTGGTATTTTAAAACTACCTTAAATTTATCAGGAATAGAACAATTACATTAAATTAAAGAGATAATAATATAGTGCCTAGCATATGCCAATCATTGTGTTAAGCACTTTACAATCATTATATCATTTTGATCCCATAACAACAATCATTATTATTTTAACCTTTACAAATCGGGAAACAGGACAAACATTAATAAAGTAACTTGCCATAAATTACATAGCTGATACATTTCTGCAGCTGGAACAGAGAAGGGTGAACCGACCAAGGACAGAAGCCGGCTGGCTCCCCCACCTCATAGTGCCACTCCAGGCTCTGCCAGGGACACTCAGAGTCTTCCAGGCAACAGCTGGGTGCTGGGGAGTGTGGCAGAGGGCACTGCCTAGGGGCTGGGGTCACTGTGCCAGGACCTTCTCAGTAGTTGTAATTCTTGGTGGCAGGGCTCAGGGAATGCTGGCCATGAGACCAACCTATTCCCTCTTTTCCTCTCCTCACAGCTGCGGAAGCTGCTGGGGCTAGGGCATTTGCAGCTATTGGAGAGAGTGAGCAGAATGCATACTGCACCGGGGTGATTACTAGGCTTTGCCTAGAAGGGTGGGCCCCCACTATGGCTGCGGACCATTCTATTCCACGGGGTGGAGGTGGGAGGGGGAGAGAAGGATGATTCAAGTTTCCCCTACAATTCCCCAGCATTCTCTTTTCTTAATGTGATCTGGGATGAGAGGGGTTAACAGGGAAGACATGAGGTTGTTTCAATCCTGTACTGAGATACACTTTTGACTCTGGGGGAGGGAGTGGAGAATGCTGAGTGATCTGCATTTGGGGAGGTGTTTCAGAAGGGGGTGAATTTCTGGAATTACCCAAAGTCTCAGGAGTTTTCTCTTGAAATCTTACAATGATTAATTTCCAAACTCCTTGAGGATTAATCTCAAAATCTCCAGAATCTGCTAAGATATTTTTAGCAGTTGCAACCTTATTTATCTAACTTTTGAAATAAAAAAAAAATGGTCTTACAGGCTTTTCCTCTTTTAAAAATAATCTAATTTGTCCTGCTTTCATCTGTGACCTCAAAATATCAAAAAAGATTCATTAATCTTTCCCAACGTTTTCTCTAGCCTTAAGTTTTTCTGGATGGCTCCATTTTAAATCTTTCAAGGTAACAGCATGTAGCTTACCACACAACCTGGCACAGACACAGAGAAATAGACACAGAAAAATTGATGCAACAAATACAGTGTGCAAATGACAGGGAGAGGGGAAGTCTGAAAGCTCTGAGAAGCTTATTAGAAACCGCCATCACAAATAGGCTATCGTTACTCCCAGGAAGGGGGTTGGGGAATTTGCAAGGATCCAAGACTGACAGGGTAGCCTCTGTGTCCACCAAGGTGGCAATGGGGTGGCTCTGTATACCTCTCCTAGCTGAGAGAGAAGCAAAGAGAAGTGGATGGGGACTGGAATATTCAAGCTTTTCTCAGAGGGCCCCTGAGGTTTGGATTTAAGGGACAGATCCCCATGAGGTTAAGTTCAGGGATCTGGTCCATAGACAGGGTGGAGTTATCTTCAGTTAGGACTGTAGTCCTCAAGAGAAAAGTGGGGGGAGGGTAAGGGGATTAAATCACTGGGGAAAGGATGATGAAGCTGAAGTGGCTTTATGAGCTTTACAAACCTTTAAAGCTGTTAAAGCAGCTTCTAGTTATTGCCCTGCCATTTCAGAACCAGGGGTAGAAACTTTCACCCTTCTCTAGATGTCTTGTTGGGGGAAGGGGAGGTGTTTGTTTAAGGGAAGATATCTGATTCAGAGGGCAATGTGATCCCTGTTCCCAGATCTAGCTCAGAGAGAGCTGCGAACTTTGACCAAAGTGGGAGTAGGAGTCCAGAATGGAAGCTGGTATAGAGGGAGATTTACCCACTCCCATCAACATTAAGACTCCAGGAAAAAGGCTCTTGTGGCACCCGAGTCATTAGTTTTATCAGGGAGGGTGTCATCTTTCTACTCCCATCAGTTCCATCTACATTGACGGCACCAGAGTTTGGTCTAAAAAGAGACAAACTAAATTAAGACAACCATCAGAATTTGGTCTTAAAAGAGACAAATGAAATTAGTCCCAAAATGTGTGGTTTGTTTTCTTTAAGCTAGCGAAATGTACATGTACGGGAGTCAGAATAGACTGAGCTCAAAGAAAGGCCAGTTGAAGGAGTCTATATATCTATAAAGCAAGGAAGTGTTCCTCTCCCCTTCCTTTCCTGACACAGGATGTCTTTTTACAGCCAAAGTTATAGTTTCCATATCTGTCAGACATAAACATGGGAATGTCTTAAACATGAATGTCATAACAAGGTAGTGTCCATAAAACATCAAGATAAGAGAAGTGACCTTAATCAAGCTAGTGTCCAGTTCTAGGCACCTGGTCCTTATCAGTCATAAACAGAAAAATGCTCCCTCTCAGCTTCATCAGGTCTTGTGTATGTTGACACAATGAGGATTTGCTGTTCATGCAGAGAGCTTGCTGAGGATTATGATATGTTAACTCAGAGTGGGCCAAAATGTTTTTTTCCTGATTGGCCAATCTAGCTTTTTGGCCTTTTTTTCAAGTGATGGGAGGCTTAAGTTGATTTACAAGATCAATGGAGTTCTTCAATCATACATGTCTATCAGGAAGATCAGTCTAGCTTTAGCTAACATTTATTAAAAGTAGAAGAGTCTTCAGGGCGTTTGTGAGATTTAAGTAAGAAGAAAAGTACCTAAACTAAGGTGGCAGCAATGGAAATTTTAAGTAGAGAGTGGATGCAAAAGATATTATGAAAGAGGAACTGATAGGAGTTTTAATTGATTGAATTTGTAATGTGAGTTGAAGGACAGGGGAGGAGTTAATGATAGGATTATGGATTTAAAACTGGATGAGACCTTTGATGTTATCCACCTCATTTTGTACTTGAGGAAATGGAGGCCCAAAGAGAGGAAGTACTGTACCTTGCCTAAGATCACAAAGGTAGTAAATGTAGCACTCAACCACAAGTCCTTTGACCCTAAATATCTCTATCATTCCATTGCATCATGCTGCCTTCTCACTGGGACAATTGTAATACCACTGACAGAGATACAGAAGTTGGGAAGAAAAATGGGATTTTTATGGGAAAATGATCATTTTAGTTTTACACATGATGAATTGATAGGGTCGGTCTCTTGGGGAATGTAGGTAAAGATGTTTAGTAGTTAGTTAGAAAGACCAGAGAGAGGACAAGGCTAGAGATGTAGCTTTGAGAATCATCTTCAGAGATGACCGTCTAAGTCATGGACATAGTTATCTCAGGAGATAAAGTATAGAAAGAGAAAAGATTAGAACTAAGGACAGGACCTTAAGGGAGCAGGAGAAGGAAGAGGAGACAGAGCCTTTATGTAAGAGGATAAGGCAGTAGAATGCAATGTTATGTAACCCTAGAAAAGAATACCAAGGAAAAAGATATAGTAAAACCATATGAAAATCTATGGAGAGACCAAGGAAGATGATAATTGAGAAAGTGCCACTGACTTGGACATTTAAGAGGTCACTAGTGACCACTGGAAGAGCATTTTTAGTAGAATATATTATAGTAGAACATATTACAAGAGACTGAAGACTTAGTGGTGAAATTGTAGGCTGTCAATATAAGCTATTCATTCAAGAAATTTATCAGTGAAGGAAAAAACAATGGGAAAGTTGCATAAGATGCAGGGGCAGGTTGAAGGAACGTTATTGTTTATTAGGATAAGAGGAACCTGAATGTATTCATAGGTAGAGGAGTGGAAACCAGTATGGAGGTAGGGATGAAAGATGGAGGAGAGAAAAGAATGATTGATGGAGGAAACTGCTGCAGGATATAAAAGGGTTAAAGGTCACTTTAACAGGGAGGGGTTACCCTTAATCAAAAAGAAATCAACCTTTTCCTATAAGATAGAAGGGAAGGAAGAGACTTATGGAGGAGGTGAAGGTTAAGATAGGTGAAGACAGGAAGTATTTCAGATAAGGAAATCAGAGGAACTAAGGACACTCATCAGTAGTTTCTGTCTTCTCATTAAAGAAGGAGGCAAATTCATCAGCTAAGAGTATGGAAGAATTACGTGGTTTGGGGAGCTGAAATAAAGAGAAAGTTTATAGCAGGGGCTGTGGGAAATTTTAGAGGTCAGCAAAGGAGAAATATTAGAAAGTCAAGGGGGTCAAAACATTTTAGAGTGGTAGAGAACGCATCCTTGGAGTAGATAGCAACATGGTTAATATTTGATAAAGAGGAAAGAGAAACCAAAACAAAGAAGGAAGAATAAGGCAGCTACACCTGGAGGCATTATGAATTTGAGACTTCTAAAACATAATTTTTGTCTCCCACAGTCATTTTTAACCTAGGCAGGAGGGAGGCCTGCCTTTCTAAACTCTCTTTTTCAGTGATGAAGGCAGCTAGATGACCCAGTGGGTAGAGAATGGGACCTGGAGCCAGGAAGACCTGAATTCAAATTCCACTTCAAATTCTTACTAGCTTTTTGACCCTGGACAAATCCTTAAACTTCTACCTCAGTTTCATCATCTTTAAAATGGAGATAATAATAGTACCTGCTTCCCAGGGTTGTTGTGACTATTGCAAAAGTGCTTAGCACAGTGCCTGACATATAAATAGACACTTAATAAATGCTCCTCCTTCCTTGAAGTTCAGTGTATAATTGTTTTTTTTTTCTTAACGAAGTATCAACGTACCCACAATTTCACATCGAGTCCACAGTTGCAACAAGCATGAGCATCCCCCTCATCAAAGATGCATGAGTCTAATTTCAAAAACCATAGGGTACAGAAGTTGTGCTTGAGAACCAAAGTGATGGATGAAAAACCCATCAAAAGTCGTTGTTACAGCTTCTGTGTTAACATTATCTAGCTCTCCTCTGCTGCTTTATGCAGCAACTTTCCCCCACCAGTTCCTCTGCCTGGACCCAGCATGCCTTCAGGTCACCCACATCTTTGAACTTTTGTCTTTGAATGTAGAAGGCAAAATTTGATCCAGCAACATTTCCAGAAGATGAAGATGTGGCAAAGGAGAGAGAGAAAGTCCTGCCATGCCCTAAAGATATGATATCATCTTTGAACAGTCCACTAGTTATTAGGAAACTCACAAAGGTAAAGCCAATTTGTGATCAACATTGTCTCACCAAGGGCATATCAGACTTGTCCCAAGGTTAGTTCTGCTTGTCTTGGCAGTTAGGGGAAAGGAACTTGTGCTGAAGTTGGGGGAATAGCTTCTATGAAGTTGATCTAATAATGTTTCTTGCAAAAATTCATCATTATTGCCCTTAGCATATTGTGTCTTCACAGATATATTATAAGCAAGGTCCTTCTGTGGCTGTGGATGGACTCTCTCTAACAGTCCAGAAAGGAGAGTGCTTAGGAATTCTTGGCTTCAGTGGTGCAGGGAAAACAAGTACCATGAAAATGTTGACTGGAGATGAGACCATCACCTATGGGGATGCCTTCTTTGAAAATCACAGCATCTGCAGGAACATTAGAAAGGTAATATGTTGCTACAGACCAGGATGTCATGACACACTGTCCTGAGGGATGGGACCCTAGAGGGTAGGTGTGGGCTGATGGAGTAAAGGAGCCTTGATGGGGTGCAATTTTCCCTCTAAAGGCTGAAAACTCAGGAAACTATGTAGGCTTAAGAGAAATTGTAGGAAAATAAAAAATAACTTTCCTTTGAGAATCTGTACAGTCTGATTTCTAAGGCCATAATTTTACTGAAAGTGTTGAGGTTTAGGGGTGCTGGAACCCTGAAGTTCAAGGGAAAACAACACAGATCCTGCCTTGAATGAATTTGACCCAAGCCTTCTTTAAGCCAAAGACTAGGTTTATTAGAACACCAGTCAGTGTGAGTTAGATTCTAAGAATCCACTCCTTGGTGGATGAGATTAACTCTTTTTATAGGAAAAAGGTTTGTGGAAAGATCTGGATGGGAGGGGACAGTAGGCTGGAGTGACTGGGAGGTACCCAGGCAAATGCCAGGGACCTGGGCCATGTGGAAGGGATCTGGAAGGAATTAAGGGTGGGTAGTGACCTGGGGCCATCCAGACAATGAAAGGCTGGGCTAGGTTAGAGGTGGAGAACTAGAGGTTTGGGTTTAGACCACAATGAAAGGCCAATGAAAGGCTAAGGCCAGAGATTTGGCGTTGTGGGAAAGTTCAAGGAAAATTGGGGGGGGAGGGGAGTTGGAGGCCCATACCTCTTCAAAAATACTATCTGAAAGATCATTTCTTCACCTTCAAATCTAATGGCTTTCTCTTTGCCTTCATCCTTTTTAACCTTTCCATAGCATCTCAAATTTTTGAACACCTTTTCCATCTATGTAATCTCCTACTTTAATTTCTGTGAAACCATATTGTCATAGATTTAACCAGTACTTCCCTGTCTCCTTCATTGGCTCAAAATACAACACATGCTTTCCCCCAAAGTTTGCAGGGAGTGACCACATAGAATACATTAATAGAGAATGAATTCAACCCAATCCTTCTTTCCGCCAAAGACAAGGTTTATTAAAACTCCGTCATATTGGCCAGACTCTAAAGGAATCAAAACATCTGTGACACTCCTGTTGACAAGTAGGCTCGAGTAAATCTCAGCCATTGGAGGATACAACAAGTACATATAAAAATAGAGATAGCATAAATATTAAGTGAATAAATATAAATATATACAGAACCATTAAGTAAAAGGCAATTTTAAAGAGAGGTAGTAACAGTTGGGGATAATAGGAAATGCTTCATGCAGAAAATGGTGCTTGAGGTGTATCTTAAAGGGTGAGAGGGTTTTTGTGATATGGAGGTAAGGAAGGAGTACATTAATCCCTAGCATGGAGAATAGCTAGTACAAAGGCATAGAGAATGGAAAAGAGGTGTTGTGTATGAGGAACAGAGAAGAAGATAAGTTTGGCTGGATCTCAGAGTGCAGGAGGGGGAGTATATCCATTAAGGCTGGAAAGATACGTTTAGACCAGGTAGTATAGAGCTTTATAAGCTAAACAGAGGAGTTTCAGAAGTAAAGTAGAAAGGTAGTGCTGTCGATTGAGTAGGGAGTCACATGGTTAGATCTTCACTTAAAGGAAAATTACTTTGGCAACAGTATGTAGGATAGACCAGAGTGAAGACTAAGAAAGTAGGCACTGTACCTCTTTCTAGATCACATCTTGGAGGCATCAAAAATTTGCAGACCCCCTGAACTAGCTATATACATGTATTGTTCCCTTTTTAACCCATTCCCATGAGAGTAGGATTTCAGAACTACCAGCCGTCCTCCCTCATTTAATTCCTCTGTGTCAGTTCTTCCTGTCACACCTCATTTGTATGAAATAATTAGTCTTTTTACCTTTTCCTAGACAGTATTACTTTTTAGAATCATGTCATACTCAGCTCTACCCCAATCTTTCTTTTGAACTACACAGTTATTAATTACAATCTTACGCATATGGTTTACATTTCCTCATAAAAAGTAAACATTCTGCCCTTATTGAGTCCCTTGAGTCTTTGATGTTTGCCTTATATTTCTCTTGAATCTTGTCTGTCAAATTATCTATTGTGTTCTATTGTGTTTTTGCAGTAAAAGCCTGAAGGTCTAGCAATTTGTTGAATGCCCATTTTTTTTTTCATTTACAATTATGCTTAACTTTGCTGGGTGTGATATTTTTGGCCACAACCCCACTTCTTTTGCTCTTCAATATGTAGTATTCCAGGATCTGCCGTCTTTTAGCTGCTGCTAGGTCTTGTGTGATTCAAATTGTGGCTCTGCTATATTTGAATTGTTTTTTTCTTATTTCTCATAGTATTTTTCTCCTTGAGTTGGGGGTTTTGGAATTCAGCTATGATACCTTGTAAGTTTTCCTCATAGGGACCTCTTCAGTGGATTTTTTCTATTTCTATTTTCCCCTCTTGTAACACTTCAGGATGAGTTTCTTCAATTATTTCTTGTATTATTGTATCAGATTCTTATTTTGATCATAGTTTTCAGGTGGTCTATTCTTATGTTTTCTCTTCATGATCTCTCCAGATCAATTGTTTTTCTTATGAGATATTTCACTTTCTCTTCCATTTTTTATTCTTTATATTTTGTTATTTCTTGGTCTCTTATAACTTCACTGGCTTTCCCTTGCCCAATTCTAATTTTCAAGGAATCATTTTCTTCCTTAAGATTCTAGATCTCCTTTTCTAGTTGGTTGACTTTCTTTTCATAATCTTGTTTTTCTTGGATTGTTCTTTATTAAAAAAAATTTTCCTCCATCTCTCTCATTTTTTTAATTTAGTATTTTATTTTCCCCCAGTTACATGTAAAAACAATTTAAACATTTGTTTTAAAAACTTTGAGTTCCAAATTCTCTTTTTTCTTCCCCCCCCATTGAGAAATTATTTGATTTTTAAAGTCTTGAGGTGGGGGAAGTGACTATTTGACATTACACCTTGGTGTAGGAAAGGCGCTTTTTTTTTGCTTCATTATTCTTTTCTGAAGATAGACCCTGGGCTTCTCTATTCCTGTAGTAACTTTCTGGGATTGGGTTCTTTCTCCTTAGCCCACCCTTTGTTTTCTTTGTAGAAGCTTAGTATTATAATCACCTCTAGTCCTGGGGTATGGGGGATGGTGTCTCTAGCCTCAGATCCTCCTTCGGTTCTCCCCTTTGGCCTGGAACTAAAACTAGGAACTCTGGCCTCCTGTAAGTGCCCATAGCCAGCGTCGTCCTGCCCCATTGCTTCTGCATTCACCAGATGTGTTGGTTCCTTCTAGTCTAGGGCCACATCTTGGTAGCACAGCTGGGCCTGGTATCCCTTATCAGCAGAGGTTTCCTCAATCTTCCCCCACTCAGAGACTCCCCACACTGTCTGGGAGGTAAAAATTCCTGTTTCTCAGGCCAAGGCTTCCTCCCAACCCAGCTAGCCCAAGGGCTCACCCAGCTTACTGTTTCAGTGAAACTAGCCTAGAGGTGTTTACACTTCACAGGGAACAAACCTTTTCTGGTTATCCCAGGAGGCCCACTGTTCTGCCCCAACTCTTGTTTATTTTTACCACTCTACATTTGCCCTGAGGTGTTATTTTATGTTGTTTGTAGAGGAAATTTAGAAAGCTTGGAATTTTCTGACCTATTCCTACATCTTCCCAGAATCTTCTCCCTATCATTACTTTTCAACAGCTTTAATACTCTTCTCATATCAACTCCCTATCTCATTCCCCACTGTAGCAACTGCTTCAAACTACAAGTCCCTCACATTTATAGGACTTTGGCTGTAAGGCCATACTTAGACTGCTGCCTCAATGAAATACTGAAACCAGTCACAATCTGGGTCTCACTTACTTCTCCAGTATTATTTTATATTACTTCCTTTCATATACTCCAAGTCATACTGGCCTGGTAGCTATACCTACCTTGCATTCTGTTTATTGCTTGTGTACCTTTGTACTTGTGGTACACTCCATGTGCTCCTTGCTTATCTTGCCTAACTCAAAAAAAATCCCTAGTTTTCTTCACAATATTTCCCAGGTGTCACCTTTCCTGTATGACTCTGACTCTGTCTCTCTCTCTCTCTTTCTCTCTTTCTCTCTCTCCTTGTTCTTCCTTATAGGTGATATTTCATCCCCTTTCATGATGCGTTTGCATAAGCTTTCCCTGTGCATTTCTGCTTCTTAGAATCTCAAATTTAAAAAATATATATAAAAATAAAAAAGAATCCCTAATTTCCTTCATAGCTCAGTTTTTCAAATGACACCTCCTACCTAAGAGCCTTTCATCATGCCCTAAGCCATCACCATCCCCTCTCCAATTGCCTTATATTTATGCTGTCTGTTATATATGCTATAAACTGTGCTTGTATTCCCCAGTACAATGAAAGCTCTTTAAAGACTCTTACCATTTTTTTCTTTGTGTTCCCAGTACCTAACACAGTGTCATTAAGAATAGGCACTTATTGGTTTTTTTTTAATTGAATTAGAAATTTAGATGGATTTGGGTTGAGAGATGGCTCTACTTATGCCATATAGTTAAAGATTTAGAATGGAAGGGACTTCAAAGGCCATTGAGTTCAACTCTCTCATTTTATAGATACCTAGAGAGGTTAAGTAACTTGCCCAGGGTTACAAAGCTAAGTGTTTGAGGCATTATTTGAACTCAGGTTTTCCTGACTCCAACTTTAGAATTCCATCCATTGTACTACCTAGCTGCCATATCAGTGTTACTGTCTTTACCTACCTTATGTGTTCACTCACTTTGACACTATATGGAACTTCTTAAATAGTTACAATCGTTCTTTGGTTTGTCTTTCTTCTTTAATATCTATATCTCACTGAACCTGTTTTCTAATTATTTCTTGTAGGTTAGATACCACCTGCGTTTTAGTTTCTTTCCAAGAAACACTGGGCCAACAGGGAAGCTTTTCTTAATGCCAAAGGAGCCAGAAGGCTGGCACACAGCCTATCTCTTTCCACTTTACCCATTACCAGGACCCCGGAATCATCTTTTCAGTGATGGGGGAAATCCTGGTGAGAATGATTTTAAGCATATTTATTTTATTTATAACTCAAATGATTACTTTTAATAACTGATATTGTGTATTTATTTTTTTATCTATGAAGAAAATGTGTTTATGTTTAGGCTATTTTTGTGTTTGTTAAATGTTTAAACTATCTGTAATTTGATAGTTATAGTCGGAAAAGAGTCTGGCTCCTATGAAAAATCATAATGAATTAACTTGTGAGGTGAGATTATTTAGAAATAGCATGTAATATCACAATTAAAGACAAATCAGAATAAGAGAATTGAGTGAGAAAAAAACATAAATGGAGGGACTGTTTGAGGAAAACAAACTCATTCTTTCAGAAGAGGAGGGTTTTCTTTCAGAGAAAGAGAAGAAGAAGAAGAAGAAGAAGAAGAAGAAGAAGAAGAAGAAGAAGAAGAAGAAGAAGAAGCAAAGAAGACAAATTGAAGACATTGTGTTTCTGAGTAATTTAGCAAAGTCAGATTACCGTGATATTTAATAAGTCTGGCTTAGAGGACCTTCGACATTTATGAGAAGTAGTAGTAGCAGTAAAAGTAATAGAAGTGGTAGTAGAAAAAATACTGACCTACATATAAAACACCTAGATATAATCTCATCTCTACTACTCACTAACTGTAACCTAGGAAAGTCCCTTTATTTCTCTGTGACTCAATTTCCTTATCTGTAGAATGTCGAATTTTTATTTGGTACGTTATTTAAGATCTCCTCTAGCTATAAAATTCTATGAAATAAATACTGGCTTTTCTAGGCCATTTACGAATAAACTGACATGAAGAAGGCCTAAGCAGGATTGTTATAGTCAAGTTAAGAAAAGCTAGCATACTTCTTTTTTCTGATAGAAGAGTTTTGTGGGTTTTATTTGCTTGTGTATATTTCTTTTAGCTGGTTATTTCAGGAATAGATAAGAATATCATACAAAATACTCTAAAAGCCTCTGTGTTTTCTGTGTAAACAAAAAACTAAACCACCCAATAATAATTTTGTTGTTGAAATTTACAAAAACTGTAACATGATTTCCAGAGACCGTTCTTTTCTTTCTACAGGTTCAGGTGAGATGTCATCATAAGAAAAATGTATACTTTTTCTTATTTGGAGGTTTGCAAGTCTTTTAAAGTCAAGTCTTTTAAAAGCCTCTATTATAGCTTAAGTTATTGGATAACCAGTTTTATAAATGACATTTTAGTATATATAGTCAAGATATAGGTAATTTACCTAAACAAAGATTCAAAATCCTATTCCTAATTTACCAAAAATTAGAATCTTTTAAAGTTGTTTATAGCTCGCTATTTAAATTAACCTACTTTCTGTTTAGTTGATAAAATGTGTCTAGCCTATCAATTGACATAAAATATATCAATTTGGAAGGAGGTGGAAAAGGCACAGAAATAAGGTAAGTACATTTAGTTCACAAGTGTGCATTAAGTGCCAGAAGAAGCACTATAGATATGTGTCTATTAATATTTTTCTAGATGAAAATTATTGTCCTACTTGAATAAAATTCACATTTGCCTTCTTTCCCTGTGAGTATTTTTCAATCTATATGTAGTGTCCTTTGCTTTCTCATTCAGGATACATTTCTGAAGGGTTCCTAGCCATTCAGCATGCTGTAGACAAAGCCATCATTAAATATCATGGGAAAGATCATTGGCTCATTAATCGTGTCACTGTCAGCATAAAGAGGTTTCCATTCCCACAGTTTGTTTCTGACAACTTCCTTGAGTTCCTGGGCCAAGTGCTGCCCCTAATAATTCTACTGATTTACTCTTTAAATGTACTCATGATCATCCGGGTCATCGTTCAAGAAAAGGAAAAGCAGTTGAAGGTAATCTCATTTGTGTTTGAATTTCACACCTTTTGGTAGATTGAGCTGCTGTGGAATGCTAGTAACTCAAGAAACAATACTTAGTAGAGGGCTTGGGTTATTGCCCTACACTCAGTAATACTAGTTAGTTGATATAAGGTATCATAATAATAAAGCACATGTGGTAGCAGGTTACAAGGAGTCACTGAGTGTCTTGACTTACTTTTCCATGTCCTACTCTGATGTTTTCTGACCTAATTCTTGAGTATGCTTCTTTTCTTTTCAGTTTGGAATGATCTCTTACTGTCCCTCCAAAGTTGTATCTGGATATTACTTTGTTATTGGTATTGGTCATTATTGAGATCAGACAGATGGAAGAACAACCAAAAGAAAGCAATATCCAGGAGGAGGTTATCAACAGTGTCAAAGGTTGCAGAGAGGTCAAAAAGAAAAATGATTAAGAAATGAACATTAGATTTGCCAATCAAGAAATTATTGGTGATTTTGAAGAGAGCAGTTTTAGTTGAATTGTAAGGTAGAAAGCTAGGTGGTAGAGGGTTTAGAATCAAATGAAATAAGAAGTAGAAGCACTGAACATAGATGGATTTCTCAAGGAGTTTAGGTACAAAGGGGAAGAGAGATATAGGACTCTAGCCAGTAGGCATGGTCAAATCAAGTGAGATTTTTTTAAGAATGGGAGAATATGAGTATGTTTGTAGGCAGTAGGAAAGTAGATAGGGAAATATTGAAGATCACTGAGAGAGTGGAGAAGATAGAGAAGGGAGTTTAATGAAGAAGGTAGGATAGAATTGTGATCAAGGGTCAATGTAGAGAGGTTTGCCTTGGCAAAGAGAAGGACCACATCTTCATGTGAGACAGAGGTAAAGGAGAAAATAGTTGGGGAAGATATCTGTATTGTGTGAGTTAGTAAGTGGCCTCCATTTTCAGTGAATTATGAATTAGGGTTCTATGGGAAGCTTAAAGGGATGAAATGGGTTGGAATAACTACTGTGTTGACCAGAATAGGAATTGATTAGAGAGATATAAATAAGATGATTGCCATGAGGGCCAAATGGAGGTTATTTAACAAATTTGTAGCAGGTCCAGTAAGAATAGTTACATGATTTTCTTCAGCTCCATTCAGCAGCAAGCCAATAGAAATTAAGACAGAAGATGATGAGAGTAATCCAAGGTTGAGGTTGGCAGGGTGTGATAAATGATAGGCCAAAGGAACCAAGGACCTAATGTATTTAGTATAGAGTTGAATTAATTCACCAAAAGGCAGAAATATAAAAGGGAGGAAAGTGTAGCCAATGCAGAGGTGATGGCCTAGGGGAAAAAGCTGAAGAGTAGAGGAATAAGAGGTCAATGAGGATGAAAAACAGGGATAGGGGCTGTGAGACATAGGAAAAGATAGAATAATAGAAAGTTATTACAGATAAAGGAATTTCAGAGTTCAAGAACAGAGAAGACAATTTATGGGTAATCTCATGATTACGGTATGATCATCTCTGTGTATAGGTAAGGTGGAATGAGGGAAAAGGAATGGAAAATGAATAAATTGAGATACTGGGAAATTAGGGTACTTGAGTATCAATATGTATGTATATATTTTGAATTCTCCTAGTGTGAAGAAAAGAGTTGAAGTGGAAAGAAAGACTAAGACAAGCATTGGACTCATTGAGGAAGGAAGAAAGTTATCCTTAGGATTAGTAGATAACATCTACTGTAATCTTTATTAGGTGAAAGTTGGATTGAATGAACCTTGAAGGAGGAGAAGTTATTGAGTGATGGTGGTAGAGGAAGAGACTGGAAGTGGCAATGGGGAAGTAAGAATATTCCAGTACCTACATCATTCAGAATTAATTAGTCAGGAGATATGATTGGAAGTGCAACCAATACTAGAAAGAGTAGCCAGGTATATAGCATACATTGGAGAGAACTGGGTCTCATTGAAAACTAAAGGACAGAGCAGGTGAGAAAAGATTTTAGATAAAAGCAGGTTTATTAATTATGGAGCAGACATTCCACAGAGCCCAGTGGAGATACTGGGTAAATCCAGAATGGGACGTTTTGGGTGGAGAGAAATATGGGAATGGGAGTAAGAGAGTAGGCAGTGGGTTCACGAATGGAGTTTGTAGCTAAGAATTCAGAATTACTGGTATGGGAAGAAAATGAGGGGGTGGGAGTATCCTAACCATGGGACTAATTAATCCAGGCAGAGCATCAGTTGCTGAAGAGAGAGAGACAGTCAATAAACATTTAAGTTTCTGCAATGTGCCAGGGATTATGCTAAGTACTTGGGCAATAAAGAAAGGCAAAAGACAGTCCTTTCCCTCAAGGAACTCACAGTCTTAGTGGAGGAGACAATGTGGAAACAACTATATACAAATAAACTATGTACAGGATAAATTAGAAGTAAGAGGGAAGGCAATAGAATTAAGAAGGATTAGGAAAAGCTTACTATAAAAGGTGACATTTTAGCTAGGGCTTGAAGGAAACCAGGAGGTAGAGATGAAGGAGGAGAGCATTCCAGAGAAAAAGGAATGGAAATGCCCAGTTGGAAAATGCAGTTTCTTTTTTGAGGAATAGCAAGAAAAAGCCAGTGTTGCTAGATTATAGAGTACGTGGGAGAGGGATTGGTGTGAGAGGAGATCAGGTTATGAAGGGCTTTGAATGCCAAACAAGAGGATTTTATATTTGATCTTGGAAGTAATAGGGAGCTACAGAAGCTTATTGAGTAGATGGAAGACATGATCATATCTGCACTTTAGGAAGATCACTTTGATAATTAAGTAGGGATGGAACGGAAGAGACTTTTCACAGGAAGGCTTATCAGTAGGCTATTGCAGTTGTCCAAGTGCAAGATGATAAAGGTCTACTCTTAGAGTAGAGAAAGGGGTTATGTGCAAGTGGAGATATTAAAAGGGTAAAATTGGAGCAGGTAGGTGGCACAGTGGATAGAGCACCGGCCCTGGAGTCAGGGGGACCTGACTTCAAATCTGGCCTCAGACACGTAACACTCACTAGCTGTGTTACTCTGGGCAAGTCACTTAACCCCAATTGCCTCATCCCCCCAAAAAAAAAAAAAAGGTAAAATTGACAGGTTTTGACAACAGATTAGATATGGGAGTGGGGTGAGAGTGAGGAGTTGAGGATAAGATTCAGGTTGAAAGTGATGGTACCCTTAACAGTAATAGGGAAGTTAAGAAAAGGGCAAAGTTTGGGGGTAAAATATAATGAGTTCAGTTTTGAGCATGTTGAGCTTAAGATTTCTACAAAACAATAATAATCTAGTTGAGAGGTAAAGAAGACCTGACCTAAAGTGGTAGGTAGTTGTGTGAATGGAGAGAATGGGTCAAATGTGAGAGATGTTTTGATGCTACATAGAAATGGCAAGATTGGATATGTGGGTTGAGGGAAACTTAAAAAGTCCAGGATAATTTTAAGATTATGAACCCAAAGACATTAGAAGGATGGCAGTGCCTTTGAGAAAAATAGAGAAGTTTGGTAGGGGGAGGGATGAAGAAGAAAGATGAATTCACTTTTAGACATGTTAAGTTTAAGAGGTATCTGATCATAGGCAATTGGTGATATGGAACACAAGTTCAAGGGAAACTGGAGCTGGATATATAGGATTATGAGTAATCAGGATAGAGATGGTAGTTAAATCCATGAGACCTGATGAGATTACCAAGAGAAAAAGTGTAGAGGGAGAAGAGAAGACAACCTAGGACACAACCTTTGAGAAACATCAACAGTTAGGGGACATTATGTGAATGATGAGACAGCCAAGAAGTCTGAGAAAGAGCTCTCCATCAAATTGGAGAACTGTGAGTGAGAATAATGTCATAAAAACCCAGATAGAAGGAGGAAAAGATGGTCAGTATGTCAAATGCAGCAGATAGATCAAGATAGATGAGGATTGAGAGAAGACCATAGTTTGGCAATTAAGAGATCGCTAGTAATTTTAGAGAGAAAAGTTTTAGTGAAGTGATAAAGTAAGCTAGATGGTAGTGTTGAGGATTGACTGTAAGAGTAGAGGCAGTGACAGTAGGTAATTTTTTATTTTTTTTTGTTACTTTTTTTTTCAGTCAGTGAAAGTCTGCTTTCTTTTCCTCCCTTCTCCCTAATTGAGAAAGCAAGAAAAATAAACCCCCTGTTAACAGATATGTGTAGTTTAGCAAAACAAATTCCCACACTGGCCATATTAAAAAAAGTCTCAATCTGTACTCCATCACCTCTCTGTCCATAAGAAGATAGCATGTTTTGTCATAAGTTCTCTAGACTAGTGATTGGTCATTAATCAGAGTTCCTAAGTCTTTCAAAGCTCTTTATCTTTATAATATTGTTGTTATTATATAAATTATTCTTCTGCTTTTGCTCACTAAATTTGTCATCAGTTCACACAAGTCTTCCTGGATTTCTCTGAAAACATTCCCTTTATTTCTTATAGCACAATAATATTCCTTCATGTTTATATATTATGATTTGTTCAGTTATTCAACAATTGATGAATTTATCCTCTCAATTTCCAGTTCTTTGCCACCACAAAAGAGCTACTATAAATATTTTTGTACACATAGATCCTTTTCCTTTTTCTGTGACCTTTTTGGGATATAAACCTGGTACAATAGTGATATTTCTAGGTCAAAGGATATACTTAGTTTAATAGCTGTTTGGACTTAAGTCCAAATTGCTTTCTAGAATAACTAGAACTATTCACAGTGCCTCCAAACAGTGGCTATTTTCCTGGAGCCCTTCCAGCATTTGTCATTTTCATTTTTTGTCAACTTTGCAGATCTGATGGGTGTGAGGTAAAACTTTAGAATTGGTTTAATTTTCATTTCTCTAATTAGTATTTAGAACATTTTTTTATCATGGCTATTGATACTTTGGGTTTCTTCCTTAGAAAACTTTGATCATTTGTCAGTTGATGAATGGCTCTTATCCTCATAAATTTGATAAATATTATTATCTTATATTCTTATAAAATTGATAAATGTGATAAATGTTCTAGA